AAAAAAAAAAAACCCACTAATTTTTAGCAAACCACATTTTTTCCTTCCCTGGGCTCACCTGGTCCCTCTCCAGCATCCCACAGCCAGGGGTCCCAGGCTCAGCTCCGCAAACCAGAGGGAAGTGCATCTTCTGGAGAGGTCCAGGGGGTGAAGCAGCAGTGGAGAGGTTGCCCCCTCAACCTTGGGGTGCATCCGAGAGCACCCAAGGGCTGTGCAGGTCACGGTCCTGGTAGAGGTGGTTGCCTCCTGCTGCGAAAAAATGGGGAGAGCAGATCAGTCCTCCCGTGGAAAAACCACTGTGAACCCAAGAAACCAGAGTTCCTGAAGCCTCAGCATCCTCCTCTTCCTTCTGCAGAAGATGCCAGCATCGTCATCAGCAGCTCGGAGGACAGCTCGGAGGAAGACACGGCGGTGAGTGTGACACCAGGCGTCCCTCCTTGCTGAGCTGGGCCACAGGCAGAAGAGGCAGCTGTCCCACCACCACCCCAAATCGTCTCTGGGGTGGGGTGCCTTTCCCTCTCCCCCAGCCTTCTCCCTTCCTGCCATCAGCCAAAGATTTGCTTGCAGCTTTCTCTTCTTTTTTGGTCGCTCCCAGGTGGCCGGGCATCTGGGCCACCCCAAATCTAGCGTTCCTGGGCTAAGAGCTTTGCTGGTATCTCCTGGTGTTCTGGACCAGCCATGGTTCCTCCCTCGCAGGCAGCAAACCCTTCCTTGATGTGCTCCAGGGTGGGATTCCACACACAAACACCCCTTACCCAGTCCCCTAAGATGGCCACCAGAGCAGGTAGGGACCACCTGAGCATCCCTCAAGGTGACACATCCGTGGTCCCTGGGGGGACATTCCACGGCACCAGCTGCTGCAGACCAGGGTGTTGTGACCAAAGAGGGGGTTAGATGAACCAAGGGCACGGGATCCCTGCTGAGATCCCGTTGGAAATGGGGGCGAGGGCAGCCGATTTGGGAACAGGGAGAGGGGAGGTTGGTTTTCCAACACTGGCCTAATAGCTGGGATTATTATTCCCAGTTTTTATTATTTTATTTTTTTTTGTATAAACTAATGCAGAAGCTCTTCTTACTCTTCAATAAAGCTGTTTCCAGATTAAATCTCAGCCTGCTCCTGGCTTCCTTTCCCCCCCGGCCTTGCTGTTTTTCCTTGCTTTCCTGATTCATCTCTAACAGGGAAAACAAATAAAAAAAAAAGAAAAAAAAAAGGAATTGTGGAAATAAAACCCTGTCCCTGCTAGTGCCAAAAAAATCTCGAGGCTGGGGTTTTTTGGGCACGTTAGCTGCTCGCTGTGAGAAATCCCTGCATGGATGGGGCATCCTTTGGGAGGGTGTGGGTCTGAGGGTGCAGCAAAGGTGCAGGCTGAGGGAAAATATAAATAAAAATAAAGAGAGGTCCCAGGGGTATAAACATCTCACCCATGGGCTGGTGTTGGGCAGTAGGAAAGCACAACCCTGAGAGCTGGGGAAAAGTGGTTTAAAGGCTGGAAAAGGTGTGGGGGGGTGGGGAAATAGCAGCTGAGGGAGAAAAAAAGTGGGATGAGGCAGCGGGATGCAGCCCAGGGAGGATGTAGCCTTCGAGGGGTGGAGAGCAAGGGCTGAGGACCTGCCTAGAGGCTCAGGTGTCTTCTGCGAGGAGATCTGGGGGTTGGGGAGGGACCTTTGTGGGGTCACCTGGGGGCTGTCACGCTCTACACACCCAGCTGAAGCTGCAAGAGCATCGTCAGTGCCCGGCTCTGCCCGGATCCGTCACCCAAGGATGCCACCACGCTACGGGCATGTGTGTCCACCCAGGTGATTGTCCTCCCCCCGAGAGCCCCCCAACGCTTTCCCTCTCTGCCTAACTCCTTTAATAAACCTTCTTTTTTTTTTTTTCCATATAAATTCCACTCGCCTGTTGCTGGGTTGGGTAGCAAGAGCATCTGCGATGGCATTTTGAGTTTGGTTCATCTAACTCCCTTCAGGCCAGCTGGGTCACTCTGGGGACAGCCAGACAAGGGGGACACAGGGCACTGCCACCACCCCATCCTTCTCCTGCCCCTTCCCAGGCAGAGCAGCCCCATATTCCCTTCAAACGTGCAGTTTTAACCCGACTTTTAAGCAATCCCACCTCCCCTGAGCCGAGGAGTGCTTGGTTCTACTCAGGTGCCCACAGACATGGGTCCAGCCACATTTCCACCACTCCTGGGCTGCAGGTGAAGATGCAGAAGGACATGGACGCCCCAACGCTGCAGGGTGGCCATATCTGGGGATTGTCCATGGGGGAAAGAGGGAAGAAAACCAAAGTTGGAGCCTCCTGAGCAGATTGCTGTCCTACTCTTACCCAGGGCGGGAAGATATTCACCATGGATGTCCATCCCTGCCAAGGCCAGGCAGGGGACAGTTGGGGGATTGCTGTCCTACTCTTACCCAGGGGGGGAGATATTCACCATGGATGTCCGTCCCTGCCAAGGCCAGGCAGGGGACAGTTGGGATGGCTTGGGAAGCTCCGCTGTAGGCACAGGATCTGCTGAGCTTGGAGAGGTACCAAACCTTCTCCTGGCCCAATTCAGCCCCTTTTTTCCTCTAGGCACCAACCAGATCTTTAGGTCTGGCAGTGTCTCATGTGGTGAGGTTGCTCAGCCACGTTTATGTCCCTGCATGAGCTGCCTCCACACGAGCTGTGTGGAAAGGGGACAGCAAGTCTTCAGACCTGCATATTGTGTCCCTCCGGCCACTGCCTGGGTCCCAGGACCTCCATTCAGAGCTCGCTTGGCCCAGACTGTGGTTTTGGGTTCTCAACGGGGTTCTCCATGGCCAACCCACTCCTGAGACACAACACCCCCCCAACCCATCCCTGGCAGTGGGGGTTTCATGACATCACACACAACCAGGTCCCTGCCCATGGCTAATGGTGCACCCAAGGGTGCACCCATGCCTTCCCAAACAGGTCCAAGCAGGCAGATGGGACTTATCCCTCTTCTCCAATCTCTTGCAGGCCTTCAGCAAGCCCAAGGCCAGCAGAAAGCTCTACAGCCCAACATGGTCCGGGAGTGGCACCTCACCCCACTGCAGCACTCGCCCCACCAGCCCCTGGGACGACGAGTCAGGGCCCAGCACCTTGGTGTTCCTCAGCGTGAAGGTTGAGCAGAAAAGTGAGCATTGCCTTCCCTGGGCACAGGGGGGTGGGGGGGGCAGAGAGGGGCACCCCCAAATACTTACTCCAGCCCCATCCTTTCCCCTCCACAGCCCATCAGATCACGGAGGTGGCGGCGGTCAACGGGGAGCACAACTTCAAGACGTTGATTCAGACACCCGAGTCGGTGCTGACGCTGTTCTCCCAGGGTGTCTCCATGGAGGTGGGGATGCAAAACCTACTCTGGTACCTCTCCCTGATCCCCAGGCCCATCCTCATCATCTATAACTTCTGGGAACCAGAGCTTCCTGCTCTTTTTAAAGCCCTGGATGCCACGGGCAGGAAAGAGGACTTCTGCCGGGTTGTGGCTGGTTATGTGGATATGTTGTCCTTGATGAAGGAAAAGCTGCCCAAGGCCCCTTCCTACAGGCTGAAGAACTTGCTGAGAAGGCACCTGCAGCAGCAACTCAACGAGGCCAGCGCTCTGGCCATGGCCAAGTCAGCAGAAAGCTCTACAGCCCCACGTGGTCCGGGAGTGGCACCTCGCCCCACTGCAGCACTCGCCCCACCAGCCCCTGGGACGACGAGTCAGGGCCCAGCACCTTGGTGTTCCTCAGCGTGAAGGTTGAGCAGAAAAGTGAGCATTGCCTTCCCTGGGCACAGGGGGGTGGGGGGGGCAGAGAGGGGCACCCCCAAATACTTACTCCAGCCCCATCCTTTCCCCTCCACAGCCCATCAGATCACGGAGGTGGCGGCGGTCAACGGGGAGCACAACTTCAAGACGTTGATTCAGACACCCGAGTCGGTGCTGACGCTGTTCTCCCAGGGCGTCTCCATGGAGGTGGGGATGCAAAACCTACTCTGGTACCTCTCCCTGATCCCCAGGCCCATCCTCATCATCTATAACTTCTGGGAACCAGAGCTTCCTGCTCTTTTTAAAGCCCTGGATGCCACGGGCAGGAAAGAGGACTTCTGCCGGGTTGTGGCTGGTTATGTGGATATGTTGTCCTTGATGAAGGAAAAGCTGCCCAAGGCCCCTTCCTACAGGCTGAAGAACTTGCTGAGAAGGCACCTGCAGCAGCAACTCAACGAGGCCAGCGCTCTGGCCATGGCCAAGGCCTTGCAGGACCTTTGGGGAGCCCTGGAGCTCCCCGTCCAACCCGCCGCGGGATTGATGCTCACCCACTGCAACCTGCAGAGCTACACCATCCTGAGGCCCCTGGTGCAGGAGAAGCTGCTCACCAGGAGGGTGGCCAAGATCCTGGCCCAGCGCAACATCATCCTCTGGGAGCTGGAGAAGTCGTGAGGGCAACCATGGGGTGGGGTGAGCTGAGCTGGCCAGGCCTCAGGGTAACCCATGCTCGCTAGGGATGCAGGGATGCTCGCCAGGGATGCTCTCCAGGGATGCAGGGATGCTCTCCAGGGATGCAGGGATGCAGGGATGCTCTCAGCAGCATCTAGCAGGACTTTCAGACCCTCTCCACTCCCAGCCTGGGGATTAAAAGGTTCAGGACCCCAGGCCAGCTCTAGGAGGGCAAGAAACCACCCAATCAAATTAATATCCTTCTAAAATAAATTACCCAGCTCAACCCAGTGTGATTTACTGGGGCGTCTCCACCCCTTCTTTTCCCAGCCAGGCAGGAGGGGAGCTCCTGGGACGGCTGGTGGTCCTGCCCGGGCAACAGCAGGTCCTCTTGTCCTTCTCCCAAACCCTTTCCCTCGACCAGCGGAGGTGGCCCATGGTGGGCGACAAGGCAATGATGGGGACAGGCCACCAGGTGTCCCCTTCCTACAAGCCGAGCAGGGGCTGGCATCGTGCACACCCGCTCGTGCACGCTCACACCCACTCGTGCACACGCTCGCTTGTGCACACTCACCCCACCCACAACCCCCGTCAGCCCTGGAGGGCCACCGGTGGTGTCTTCTCCCGTAGCCAGGAGGTGCCGAGACCATCACCAGGGCATCTGGTCCCAATCTCATAGAATCATAGAATTGCCCAGGCCGGAAGGGACCTCCAAAGGCCATCTAGTCCAACCCCCCCGCAGTCAGCAGGGACACCCCCAACTAGACCAGGTTGCCCAGGGCCTCGTCGAGCCTCTCCTTGAATATCTCCAGGGAAGGGGCCTCAACCACCTCCCTGGGCAACCTGTTCCAGTGCTCCACCACCCTCACAGTGAAGAACCCTCTCCTCATCTCCAATCTAAATCTGTTCCCCTCCAGCTTGAAGCCATTGCCCCTCGTCCTGTCACTGCAGGCCTTTCTAAACAGGCTCTCCCCAGCCTTCCTGTAGGCTCCCTTCAGGTACTGGAAGGCTGCTATTAGGTCTCCCTGGAGCCTCCTCTTCTCCAGGCTGAACAACCCCAGCTCCCTCAGCCTGTCCTCGTAGCAGAGGTGCTCCATTCGGTCACAGAGGGTGACCCACCATCCCAGGGTGGTGGGATGAAGAGGTCCTCTGGGTGGCTGCAGGTGGGTTGGGAGAGGGATGTGGTGAAGGTCTCCTCTCCAAGAGGGTGCGGTGGGCGCTGGGGGGCTTGGAAAAATGGGTGGTGGTCATGGTGGTGGGAACATCACCCCCATCTTCTGGTAGCCCCCCAGGAACAAGCAGTGGCCCAGACACAACTGGTCCACTGGAGGTGGGTGCTGGCCAGCGAGGCAGGGGCTACCATCCTTGAGTATCGAGGTCCTGCTGCCACCAGGACAGACCCAGCACCGCCCAGCAGCTTATCAGGAGAAGTCCCAAAGGAGCTCCCACAACTGCCTGGTGGCACCCAGGGCTTGTCGCCACGCTCAGGCGATGCCACCCCACCCTGGGGATTCTCTGGTGTCTGATAGAGGATTGTGCACGGGGAGTAGCCTCTACAAGGAAGGAGGGGGGGGGGTGGATGCTCTCCAGGGATGCAGGGATGCTCTCCAGGGATGCAGGGATGCTCGCCAGGGATGCTCTCCAGGGATGCAGGGATGCTCTCAGCAGCATCTAGCAGGACTTTCAGACCCTCTCCACTCCCAGCCTGGGGATTAAAAGGTTCAGGACCCCAGGCCAGCTCTAGGAGGGCAAGAAACCACCCAATCAAATTAATATCCTTCTAAAATAAATTACCCAGCTCAACCCAGTGTGATTTACTGGGGCGTCTCCACCCCTTCTTTTCCCAGCCAGGCAGGAGGGGAGCTCCTGGGACGGCTGGTGGTCCTGCCCGGGCAACAGCAGGTCCTCTTGTCCTTCTCCCAAACCCTTTCCCTCGACCAGCGGAGGTGGCCCATGGTGGGCGACAAGGCAATGATGGGGACAGGCCACCAGGTGTCCCCTTCCTACAAGCCGAGCAGGGGCTGGCATCGTGCACACCCGCTCGTGCACGCTCACACCCACTCGTGCACACGCTCGCTTGTGCACACTCACCCCACCCACAACCCCCGTCAGCCCTGGAGGGCCACCGGTGGTGTCTTCTCCCGTAGCCAGGAGGTGCCGAGACCATCACCAGGGCATCTGGTCCCAATCTCATAGAATCATAGAATTGCCCAGGCCGGAAGGGACCTCCAAAGGCCATCTAGTCCAACCCCCCCGCAGTCAGCAGGGACACCCCCAACTAGACCAGGTTGCCCAGGGCCTCGTCGAGCCTCTCCTTGAATATCTCCAGGGAAGGGGCCTCAACCACCTCCCTGGGCAACCTGTTCCAGTGCTCCACCACCCTCACAGTGAAGAACCCTCTCCTCATCTCCAATCTAAATCTGTTCCCCTCCAGCTTGAAGCCATTGCCCCTCGTCCTGTCACTGCAGGCCTTTCTAAACAGGTTCTCCCCAGCCTTCCTGTAGGCTCCCTTCAGGTACTGGAAGGCTGCTATTAGGTCTCCCTGGAGCCTCCTCTTCTCCAGGCTGAACAACCCCAGCTCCCTCAGCCTGTCCTCGTAGCAGAGGTGCTCCATTCGGTCACAGAGGGTGACCCACCATCCCAGGGTGGTGGGATGAAGAGGTCCTCTGGGTGGCTGCAGGTGGGTTGGGAGAGGGATGTGGTGAAGGTCTCCTCTCCAAGAGGGTGCGGTGGGCGCTGGGGGGCTTGGAAAAATGGGTGGTGGTCATGGTGGTGGGAACATCACCCCCATCTTCTGGTAGCCCCCCAGGAACAAGCAGTGGCCCAGACACAACTGGTCCACTGGAGGTGGGTGCTGGCCAGCGAGGCAGGGGCTACCATCCTTGAGTATCGAGGTCCTGCTGCCACCAGGACAGACCCAGCACCGCCCAGCAGCTTATCAGGAGAAGTCCCAAAGGAGCTCCCACAACTGCCTGGTGGCACCCAGGGCTTGTCGCCACGCTCAGGCGATGCCACCCCACCCTGGGGATTCTCTGGTGTCTGATAGAGGATTGTGCACGGGGAGTAGCCTCTACAAGGAAGGAGGGGGGGGGGTTCACAGCCGGAGGAGGGCAGAGCCCATCTGTCTGCTGTCACCGGCCC